TCAGCAAGAGTCTAGAAAAATGGCCATTGCTATGATAGGGAGAGTTGTTCTTGGTGGTGAAGATAGGATGAAGACATTCTTAGTACAGTGGAAGCAATAGTGTTAGGGACAAATCCTGCCCACCCTGCAGTGATGTCTCACATATGACACTTTCCTCTTCCACAGAAATGAATGGCAGTGTTTCAGTGTACTTGGTGAGCACAGGACAAGTTTCGTCTATCCAAAAATGCATACTAAAAGAGCCTTATTTATTTGAAAAGAGTCCTCTTTTCATGTAAATTGGCAGAGGCAATTGATATTTATGATAGTAAGCAGTCGGCATGTTGGATTGAGTACCTATGCACCCAGACATGGTTTCAGTGTCATTATTGGTTTCTAGCTCTATTGTAATATGCTGCATGACTAAAACTAAGCTTGTGTAATGAAAGCTATCACATATTCCATTTTTCTTTACCCCTGGCTCCATTTTCCTCTGTATTCTGTTTTTCCCCTTTGTCTTATGAATGATGCTTGATACTAAATAAACCTGTTTCAGACATAGGTGTACATATTTCACTGTTTTCCGGTTTCCTTCTTTCTGTAGTGTGCCCTAGAGCTTTGAAATAAGTAATAAAATCTCAGGTTCCAATTATACAATTCCATAATCCTGAAGCGTGTGGTGTAGTGATTAAGAGTGCAGAATGGGCTCGCAGAAGATCTGGGTTCTGAACCAGCTCATAATTCACCTATGGAGCTCACTGGCTGACTTTGCACCAGCCACAGACTCTCAGCCCAATCCACATCACAAGGTTGTTGTTAGGCGGATAAGACTGAGAGAAATTATGTAAACTGCCTTGAGATCCTTGAAAGGAAAATAAAAGGCTATAAATGTAATAAACAAACAAATAAATAAATATGCCCCCCACCTGCATCCCAGCTCCTGAAAGTATAACCTCAAGCCTGGAACCAAATCTGGCCTTCCTGGGATCCCAGTTCAGTCTTCCAGGTTTTCCCATATGACCCTATCTCCTTTCTCCCATCTAGCAATCATGTCATAACTTTTGTGCAACATTTTCCGCATTCTAGAAGGCTGAAATGGCCCTCCTAAAGCTTAGTTACTGGTAGCTTAAAGCTAGAATAGGCTTGGGTTAGGACCCTGTCCACTTCCAGAATGTGGTCTCTGAAAGTTTCTCTTAGATGGAATTTAGTCTTCAGATTGAAAGAGTTTCTGCATTCCTGTGATAAACCAAGGCCTTCTGATGTATCCCATAGAAATTCATACAGTCCAATTCTGCAGTCCACTTCTCTTCTGCCCTCTGGTGTCAAGCCTGCTTTCAGAAAGAGTACAAGCTCACCAAATGCTAGCAGCAAACTGATGACTATAAGGGAGGTACATGAGGCCCTTGAATTACTAGCAAGGGCTTGAAAGTAAGCCACGGACAGTGACAGTAGCATATCACCTAGATCCACATGCAGAGTGCTCCTCTGTGCAAGCCCATTTTATGCTTTAAGGAGAGCTGTGCCCAATACATTCTGAAAATAGCATAATATGCAAGCTTAGATTGAATTAAGCAAAACTCTCAAAACACTCAAGACTTTGGGAAAACTTCAGGTTTGGACTCTTAATCTGAACCGAGTACTTTATGTGCCCGGAACTGAGAAGACCCTTTCTTAATATCCTATTGCACTGTCACATTAAATAGGGCCACAACATTCCTATAACTTGCAGAAAAATTATCTCTTCTTGGTGAGAATTTGATTGCTTTCTCAAGAGCTGCAGGCTGGTAAGCAATATGGTTATTCTCTGATTAGTTCGATCTACCCTTTAACTTTTGTTGTGATTTATATTTTTATTTGCAATCTTTTAAAAGCTTGGTTTTATAAAAAGTGGATACTATTGCCTCTATAAATAAATGCCTTCAGATCATCTTAGCATACCTCTCAAGCTTACACTCAAGCTTGTTTTGCATAATCATATATGAGAGAAGTTTGAATAGAACTTGTTTAGATCGCATTTAGAGCTCTGGTCACAATGCATAGTTTGGTCTAAACAGAAAAGTTGGAAAGCTGTTATGCTTGGGTTCAAGAGCAACATCTTTTATTCCAGGATCTTTCTGTTTTCATAATGTATTCCTGCTAAGTGTAGAAGAGTACAAAATGTGTTTTCATCTAAATATCTATATTGTCTAAAAGATCACTTACAGCAGGATTTTGCACATTTGTCTTTATACTCTGAGAAACAGTCTGGCTTCTTTATCCATTTGTTGTTGTAGTATTATGACACTTTTTAAGATGATTGATTGTAACATGTTGAAAGCCTACCATGTGATCATCTATTTTTAAATGCACATTTATACTATCAACATTAAAAGTATCTAGCAGTAATATGTGAAATGTAAACTTTTAAGCCTGATAAAATCTGATGTGTCTACAATTAGAGTGCCTCAGTTCTGGAGTCTTAAAATAACAGATCACCACTGAAATGGGAGTTGCACAATGTTAACTCTATGTATAAAGATGCCTCGTCTGCCCAGCTCATTAACTCTACAGCCCTATGCACTTACCTGGAAGTAAGGCTGATTAAACAAAGTAGAATTTACTTTTAAGGATTATACAATTGGGTTGTGAGTCACTGAAGAGGTTATCAACATTGTTAAGGTTCTTGACAGAGATGAGTTCAACAAACACCAGTTACTATTATTCACATGGAAGTTCCATATGAATATGCAAGATGAGAAATTTGGTCCATCATGGAATCAAGGTTTTTTGAAATAGATTTATCCAGTTCATACTTCCCAAATTAAATGTAGAAGTGGATGCAATTTGCACTTGCAAATCTGGAAATGTATGAATTTTTAACACATTCTGCAAAAAAGAAAAGCAAAAGCATTTGAAAAATATAAAATAGACACTATATTTTTAAAATGCATACAAAAATATTTTAATATATGACCAGCATCAAAAGTATGCATGATAAAACACAAGCTGAGGGACCACACTTACTGTATATTGAACTTGACCTGCATCTTCCCTGTCCATTTCCCAATACCATACAGAGCATCTTCTTTGTTCCCCCATCCCTTAGTACAATGCACCGGGTTAGAGGACATTCAAGGCAATTCTAAAATTCTGTGCTTATCTCTGTTTCTGCATCTCAGGAAGGAGTGTTCCCAGCATAAAACTCAGCAGGTGCTCAGCTGCTCTGTATGGTGGTGTCTCTCACCATATTACAAACTGCTCTTCCATTGAGGATTTAACGCATGGGTTATGGATACTTCTGATAGGCATTTGATAGCCATTACACATTTTTCAAGAGCCAGCATCAAATGTAGGTGTGGTTGGGTAGGTGCCAAGGGCTTGTACCCAGTTGGGGCTGGCTGATATGAGCCACTTGGACTGGATTCTTCTCCTAACCATTGCAACCTACCTATGCAGTGTTAAAGGTCAGAAGCAGTATCTGCCTTCTTACCTACTAGCTCTCTGCCTGCCAAGAAAACAAGTGGTTGCCACAATAAAAAGATGAGCACCAATAGCTACTGGTAATGATGATGGTACAATTATGGACTCAAGAAGGAGGGTGCCCACTTAGGGTGCCTTGGCCAAGGGCTCACAAAAACCTGAAGCACTAAAAACACTGTTTTAGTCATGTGCCCATGGAACAGATTAGAATAGAATGTGCTTATTTAGAAAGGCACACAAGCTATGTGCTGGAGCAGGGTTTCCATAATGGCATTCCCTTCATCCGGAACTAGCACAGAGTGAACTTGAAAGTAAGAAAAGGAGAAAGCCCATGAAAACGGACTTCACAAATCTACAGAGGGATAGAGGCATTTTTTACAGAGTTAGAATAATTGTAAAATTATAAGAGAATATATTATTGGGATAGGTGGTTGCTGGTATTAAAAAGACAACAAGAACACAACTGCCACCTATCTACACTTCTTTCTGTTGAATAATACTCAGATATATACTGAATGATACTCTAGGTACTGCTGCCAAAAATGACAGTGATGCCCATAGTTCCTCTCTGCAACATCTGGTACAGGTTGCCTCATGTTGTGACATCACAACATTCCACATTTCCCTGTTGCTGCTGCTGCATATCATTGGCAGCTGAGGCATGGTCTTGGGAATGTTTCAACATGAGGTAACTTATACCAGATGTTATAGAAAAGGCAGGGAATCTAGAAGAGTTGCTATTTTCATCAGTAGTCTTATGTTTGACTTTGTGTTATAAATAAATAGAGACCTACCAAGTAATGTGTTGATTTTTTCCAAAATGGTAGTAGTAAAACGTCAGAAAAGATAAGAAACCATTGTGAAGGAATCATGAAAAATGTTTCATTCTAGCATACAATGTTTAATTAATGTGTAGAATGACAACATTTAAAGTTTCTGAATGATGTAAAATTTACCAATCTAAAATTAGAAAATTGACAAGCATTATTACATATTGGAGCAGAAATAAAGCCAAAGAAGCTGAACCATCAAAATTAACTGTTGTTGGTACAATACAATTTATGGAATAGGTATTAGAGTGGAGGTTTTGTTAATTTACTTCGATTTGTTTCGGCAGGGAGTTAGGGCACTGTTAGGTATCATTTTATTTTATATCTATGCATATTACGATATTCAATGAATTTTTAAAAAGGGAAGTGTCTGGAAAGAAAACATTGGGGCATGACGTTTACCTTGTAATCATAGGAAGCCTACTATAGTGGAGTAAGCCATGGTCCAGAGAAACACTGATTGCATAAGTGAATGGGCAATAGATGTTTTCAGTACCAGCCAAGGACTTACACCTCCTTATGGGTCATACAGCATGGGACTTCCTCTTCTACATGATCTGGAAAAGCCAGGGGGAGCTGCAAATCTAACCATGCTTGTAGATTGCAAGCTGTTTGCTAGAATGATATAACACAGACAGGTTGACTTGATTACAAAATATTTTTGAAAAACTATATGATCTCCAGGTATTATCAATGCCAACTTCAGTATATTTGTAATCTTTGCTTCTTTAGGTGCCTGTGTCAGTGGCCATGATGACTCCCCAGGTGATCACCCCTCAGCAAATGCAGCAAATTCTCCAACAACAAGTTTTGTCTCCACAGCAACTTCAAGCACTTCTTCAACAACAGCAAGCAGTTATGTTACAGCAGGTAATGTTGGATTGAACTATTAGTGTACCTCAGGCTATTCACAGGTATTATCAATTTTGCATGTGCCATGTGTGTGTGTGTGTGTTCTGTGCATACACATGATGTTAACCTAACCCAACTTTCTCAGCATTCAAAAATCAAACTGTGGTGGAAAAAGAACACAATTATGCAACTTTAAATTATATCATCTGAGATGACCACAGCAATATGTGCTATGGTAAACAAGGAACAAATAAATATTTAAATATTCACCTGCTTAGGCACATTTTGAATTGTATGTTGAAGGAAGTGTAAGTACACTTTAGGACAATTGTTGCTTTAAAATTCATAACATTTTAGTGATCCCTGTGGTGGAAGGCAGTTTTGAAGTTTGAACTTAGTAGCTTTTTTCTCAAAAGGAAAAGTAATCATCTTCAAAGTTCCTCCTTTATTTGTATATTTATTTATTTATTTTACTTCCCCCAGACTCTCCTCTATAGAGATTAGGAAGAGAGTGGTGGATTGCTCTTTTTGTAGCCCAAAAATCTGGAATGAGAAAGCTGTCATGCTTAGAACAAAGGCAGTTCATCAGTCTAGCATCATTATAATGTGCATTTTTATTTTGCTTGCTTAATTACATTGAAGAAAATAATGTGTTTGTTCTTAGTATGTTTAAATACTTGATATGTTGTAGCATGATAATTACAGGCTATTTTTCTCAACTGTAAATCTGCCATCTTGCTGAAACAGGTGACAGATTAACTCTCCACAGTCAGCACCTCTAAGGAATAGGACATTTTGTTTGGCCTTGCAAATATTTTACAAGCGATAGACTATCTACTTCAACCTATTTTTATTTTTAAAAATATTATAGTGTTTGTTGAATTTAGCCATTGGTTGGCTCTGCTGCATGCTCTTCAGAACACAGATTTTCTGTGTCCTTTTGGTTAAGATATTTTGGAATCTGCACTGGAAAATTTTAGAGCTGTCTTATGTGTCTCTTCAAACTACATTTTTGTTCTGAGGTGCATTCTAATGACTTACTCAACCACATGCCAATTTAGAAGAATTTAGGGGAGTTATAATACTTGAAACTTTGCCTTTATTTATTAAAGTCAAAATGATTTATTCAGCAACAACTTCAAGAGTTTTACAAGAAACAGCAAGAGCAGTTACATCTTCAGCTTTTGCAGCAGCAGCAGCAGCAGCAGCAACAGCAGCAGCAGCAGCAACAGCAGCAGCAGCAACAGCAGCAGCAGCAGCAGCAGCAGCAACACCCAGGAAAGCAAGCAAAAGAGGTAGAACCTAAATAGTCAGTTGGTGAATCATTGCTGCAATCTGGGCAGGGGAGAAAAAGAACTAAATCTTCTGGGTTAGGGTTTTTTTTTTTCAAGAACTTGTTTAGGAAAAGCTGTCAGTGCTGAAATATCTCAGGATCAGTTTCCACATGGTCGTGGGTGTCCACTTATAATGCTCCGTGGGGATAGATGGGGTGGACCAAAAATGGGTATGCAGTACTGATTGCATCATGGAGGACCTCACACAATGGACAAATTGAAGGAGATCATCTTGCAAGCATTTATTGACATTGGTGCTAACCAGAATCTGTGTCAGTGTTGGGGACAGGTTCCAGGAATGTTGCAACATTGATGAAGGACATTTTGAGAACCTAAGAGATTAAACATGACCCGATTAGTACTGTATACCTTTGTTTGGCCCATCCTGTATATACACATGGAGAATGCATCATGTAAACAAAATTCTCTATAGATACAGTCTTGGCTTTCAAAGGGTGATTTTCCTAATTGCAGAGGCTGGCCATGGGTGTTTGGGTGGAGTGCTCTGTTGAAATTCCTGCAGTCATCGCCAGGAAGTGGTAGCCATGTCCATGGAGATACCGGTCCATACAAGATACTCTGTATGTAAAAATGTCCCTTAGAAATAAATGTTGTCTGGAAATAAATCTGACCTTGTGAAATGGACAATAGAATTGGTGAGGTGATTGGATGGATAAATGGATTATGCCACAAGCTGATTGATGGATGCCACAAGCTTGAGAGTTGCATAGAATTCTTGTTCATCTAGTAAAAAACTTACTCCAAGTGCTCATTTTACTTGGAGAATTATGTATAATTTGAATTTTTGTGTTCCCTTTTAACCTCTTTCAACCCAAGGACCAAATTCCATTTCAGAGCAGCTTCTGGGGGCCACATTCTCACAGTGGGTGGGGATGTAGGTTAAAGAAGTGAGGCCAGTCGATAAAGACAGGGCCAAGGCGCAAAAAGTCACAGTTTAAAGTTTAGACTACCAATATCTAAACTTTAGGAGAGGCATTTCAGTCTTTCAGAATTGGGATTGAGGGACTGCACAAAGACAAGGAACCACCAAACAATCAGTAGGTGGGGTGAGAGGAGTGTGGCCACCTGGCGTCTAGACCTGATCTTTGGCATCCCGGTAGTAAAAGATATAAATTTACTGTAAGTCTTCTGTGGGATTGGTAGATCAGTTCCTTAATACTGAATAACAGTACTTTAATGTTTTCACTATGCCTTATAACAGTAAAAGTAGACCTCTGAATCTTCCCTTGTTTGTAATCATGGGACCTGTGAATTACCATCTAATTTTGCTACCCTGTAATGTTCACCAATTAATACTATTGCAGAATGATCGTGTACAATAATATGAAAAGTACTGATTATCTTGTGTATCTATAAGGGAGCTTAAATTGATGAAAGAACCTTACTTTTCTTTATGACACAGGACAGAGATCATGCAAATTGAGTCCATTATTTAGAAAAGGATAACAGGGGGTGGAGAAGAGAAGGAAAAATCTGGGCACAGATTTTGAAGTCACAGACCCTGATTAATGAACTGCTACTGTATGTTTGGATTGGTGAGAAGAAAGTTACAGTTTGATGTGCTCATAAATCAACCTGACAAGCCAGCTTCTCAGGCCTAGCTTGTACTTGTCAGCAAACTGCATCAACTATAAACATAATATAAACAAAACATGTGGAAGTAGTTAAATTGATCAGCAGGTATCGTAGACATTGTCTTGTAGCTGCCCATTATGCAAACGTGCAGGAAACAGTTCTGACCTCCCGAGGCTTTGTTTCTGTTTGGATTTGTGAATAGAATTTCAGACAGCCATCAGCTATGGAATAGAAATTGCTCCCTTATTTCTCCCGAGGCTCTGGGCAATCCACATGACTTGCTCCATTATGCAGTCTGTTTTCCAGTGAACACATCACAAGTTTCTCTTTTCCCCAAACTAAAAAAGGAAAGGTCTTCCACAGCAGCTTGTCTTTCTCTGAAGTGTGACTACATCCTTATACCCTCCCGAGCCTAAAGAACTCCAGTTTGTCTTGTAATGCCTCACAAAATTGGAAGTTATGCTTCCTCTTATAATAGGCCACTTCTTTTCCTTGAATATAATGCTTGGTTTTTAATGTATTCAAACAAGAGCAGCAAAGAAGCTAACAGGCCAGTAAAATGAAGGCTACATCCCAGTTTACTAATAGATCACTGGAGACTTCATTTATGGGCCACTGTGGATCATATTTATTCAGTTGGAAAAACAAGAATGCCTTTGAATCACAGACAGTTGTAAAGAGTTACACTTTTAGCCCAGATAAATTTGTTATCATCTATCATAAAGTGTAATTCTCTTCCCTACCCATTTTGGAACAGCTGTTGCCGGCTTTTTTCTGACCCTTTGCAGAAGATGAGTGTTAGGAACATCTTCCCTGCTTCTTTATTAACCCAGTCACTTTTAACAAAAACAAAGCTTTATAAAATAAATACCAAATGCTCTTTCTGCATACATTATTAGCGAGTAGCAGAAAGGAACGGGGAGATATGTTGACCTGACACTGTCTTGTTTTTACAGCCTTTATTGCAGACTTTGCTCTCTGCTGCATTTGTTTTTATTGTTGTCATTTTACAGCAGCAACAGCAGCAGTTGGCCGCCCAGCAGCTTGTCTTCCAGCAGCAGCTCCTCCAGATGCAGCAACTTCAGCAGCAGCAACATCTGCTGAATCTTCAGCGTCAGGGACTCATTTCCATTCCACCTGGCCAGTCTGCTCTTCCTGTCCAGTCGCTGCCACAAGGTATATAAACAACATATGACACAATTTCTTTCCAGTTCACAGCTTATTCCAGTTACTGTTCCATTATAAATTCACCTCCGTATTCCAGTGCTTTATTATTAAACCATTCTTTTTTAATGTTACCATTTCCACACCTTTATTCTTGAAGCTGCCCCTTTGGGAGTGTTTGTGTGCTGTTTTCAGTTATGTGGCTTTTACAGGAGAGTACTGCACTTGGGTGTCTTTTATAGTATAAAAAGCTGCATTCATTATGGACTGAAAGCATTTTATAATAGCATCATGTTTTACACCTCATTGGTTCACACTGAGGTATTACAGAAACCAGATTTTGTGTAAATATAGCCACTTAGTTTAGCAAAATGGGAAATAAGCTGCAATCTTGAAACTTCTTATATTCTTACTATCATTTAATCAAAGGCAGTGGGATGTCTCCAAAAACTAGGATTACATTGCCAAGATGTTTCCACACTAGGATATTAACATGATGGAGAGGATGAGATATATGCATTGGACCTAGTGTTCCTTATTCACTTTCTGCCATGGAAGAATCACACCTTAGAGGGAGAGATCCACATCTTTTTGTCACATGTGTCCATTTACTTTGCTAACAAATAGAATAGCCACAGCTGATGTATGATTGCCCCTTTGCAGGTGCACCTCTTATTTGTGCATACCACATCCACACATGTGTACACTCTTTCTTACACTAACAGGAATAAACCATACAATTTTTACAGTCTCCAGACTGTTTGTTTATAAAAGGTTAGTCTGAATGACAGTAGATCTCTGAGGTTCCAGGCAAAGACCATTCATATTACTTGCTACCTGAGATCCTTGTGATGAAGATGTGAGGACTGAAACCAGGACTTTCTGCATGCAGAGCATCTGCTTGCCAACTAAACTCTAGTCTCTCACCATAATCATTCATGTTTTTTACCCACATAATAATTGGAGATAGCCATTGCTCAGTGGTACTGCATATGCAGAAGGTCCCAAGTTGTGTGCCTACCCTTTTCAATTTCATTTACTAGGGTAAGAAGGACCTTGGAGAGTCAATATGAAAGCGTGTTTGGCCTAAAGAAAAAAAATAACTTGGCCTCAACAATCTCAATATGAATAATGTTGAATAATATTGAATAATAATAACAATTCAATAACAGTTGTATCCAGTGCTGGTTTTGACTTCTGCCTCTGAGACACATAAGTGATTTTAGCTCAGGGATCAGTAGCCACTCACATGTATATATGGATGCACATGCATATACACATTTCAGCAATCTTGACACAGAATACTCTTTCCTCCTCCTAGCAGCAAGGAAAAGAACAATCTGTATGAGAACGGTTGATAGAGGCATTTCTCATCCCTTTCCACAATGCCACTGAGTCAGATAGCTTTTTCTAGCAAGGAAAGAGCAGTATATTGAAATTATTGGGGATGGGTACGAAATTCAGTGGTGACATGGGGTTCTTCACACCTTTGGGGACCACAATTAGGACATTGTGTCCTAGACTCAGGAACATCTGGCCCTGTAGGAAAGCATGGAGTTGCATGGACTGCTGGCTTACTTTAACACACCAAGTAAAAGATAGGAAATAACTGTGAAATAACAGTGAAAAAGGAATAACTGTGTTTGTCCACTGGATGTACACATTTTCAAACAACTTAAGGTAGGGGATACTCAGCCACCTGTGTTATATGACACATGTAATCCTGTAGGTCAGTAACTAGGATAAGAGCCACTGAGGGATTGCACTGCCTCCATTAGTAACAGCTCACTTGCTGCTTTAAGATTGTGCCTGGTAGAATTCAAAAATGTCCATCTTCAATCAAATGAGACATTTCACATGTAATGAATTCTAGTGTTCTTTCTCTTATTGTTCTGAAGTTCAGTGATTCTAGTGTAAAGAAGCACTTTGGTGTGCTCCTGTCTAGCCTTTGGTGAATGGAAGAATTTGCATGAATAAGAAAATTGGAATGACTCAGAATTTGAAACTTATAGCAGATGAGACAGGATATTGAGACTCCAGCATTTTCAGTGCTATTTTTCTGATAGTTCAGATCTTGGATTTTCAATTACAAAGTAAGATCTTTATATACATATCCTATTCCACACTTTATAATTGCAATTTAGTATAATTCTGATCTTCAAGATGAATAGCTTCCACAACTATGGTGCAGTTGAACTAGTTACAATATGCATTACATTTCCAGCTTCAAGGTGAGCCTCCTCAAGTCAAGAAAAATAATATAAGCTCCTCAGAATGTGTCTCACATTCTTCCGAGGTTCAGTGGCAAGCTAGCATGGGCCTGCAACAGATTTACGCTTTCCAAGGAAAATTCTGTCCCCTACAGTCCTAAACTAATTTCAGTCATGCTTTTATATGACTGGGCATTTATATGGACTACCCAGCACTCTTGAGATGTTGTTGCACAGTAGATGGGGGGACAAGCAAGCATGTCCCAGAATATATGCACTCTGACAATGTGTATGGGTAACTACATCTGTGTTGAGTGTGAATACCTATTTAACTATTCATAGAGCTAGTTTATTTACTGTAAACATTGTTAAACCTTATAGTCTATCTCAACAAATGGATTTTTTTTCAGTGTACCTATGTATTATTATTCAAATACATGTGAAAGGTTTACCAGGTGCCACAGAATGCAGTTCAATAAAAATTAGCATATGTCTTTTTATGCAAGGAAATGTGCTCTGGAAAGTTTATAAGGGAATAACCAGGAATTTCGGCAATACATTTTGGTAGGGAAGACATGGGTATTGACAGCTACTGAAACTATTTTTAAAACCACTTTTACATTCTTGCACTTTCCTTAGCATTACTGACATAAAAGTAATTGGAAAATGCTTCTTCCTATACAATTGATATACTTTCTTCCTTAATAATTGATATATAGTACTTTGCCCTTTATAATATTGCTTATTCCTTGTTTATTTTTAAATGCTAACCAGACCAGAGCCTTGTTAACTATATTTTGGTCAAAGTTATGCTGGATGTTCCAAAACACCAGCTTCTGATCCCAAGTCATGCCTCTCATTTCTTCACCATTGGAAAGATAAAGTTTATGAAAGAATGTAACTTCTTGCAAAAATCTGAAAATAGTTTGGGTAATTTAAAGCAGTGATCTCTTGGAGCATTGTCCTTGCTTTAAAAATATTTTATTCTTCCAGAAATAACTATTGCAATGAAAAAATTAAGCACAGGCAACTAATATATGGTAAAGCATTTACCTGAACAAAATATAGTATATTGGTCAAGACTGTGTTCTAGATCTTAGATCCCTTGCAAATCTAACATTATTCATTTGTTTGTTTTCTGTACTGCCCAACAACCAAAGCTCTCTGAGCTGTTCACAACAACACGTTAAAATACAATATAAAATACACCATAATATTACAACATATTAAAACATCATAAATAATTTACAAAACAAAATTCAAAACTAAATTTAAAACAGCTTTTTAAAAAATATAGGTTAGAACAAAATATTAAGGCCTGTTTAAAAAAATAACAGATCCCAGTAGACTAATTGATTATGCCTGCAGTAGAGGACAATCTTCACCTTGCACCTGGCTGCAGCTTCTGAGCAATCTACAAGGGCAGCCCTGCATAGAATATATTGCAGTAATCTAGTTTAGGGATTACCAAAGAATAGATCAATGATAGCAGGCTATCTCTGTTGAGATAAGGGCCTAACTGAGTCACCTTCATAAGCTGATAGAAGGTGCTCCAAGCCACTGAAGCCATTCAGTAACAAAGATGGTTCAAAGAGCACCCCCAAGCTACAAACAAACATAGGTCATAATATAGAGCAACTAAAGCTGTTTCTATGCCAAAACTAGGCCTGAATCCTCATTGAAATGGATCCAGGTAATCAGTTTCATCCCAGAATTTGGCCACCAATATTGCCTAGGCTGGTTCCACTGTGTTATATTTTTCCTGAAAAAAGGTTGATTAATACTTGCTTATTTGTTGCAACCTGATATATTTTTTCTGTTATCCATTACATTTGGGATAAAGCAGTACTTTTAAATAACTTTATGAACTTTGGATGCATTGCTTTGGAATCAATTTCTTGATTACACAGGCAATGAAAATCTCATCTTAAGGTTTCTTTTCATACTTGTTTTTCAAACAGTAGTTGCCAGTTGTTGGTTGTTACTGGTTCTCTTTGATCCTTGAACAAATGTTTTAAGAGACAGCATGTTACATAAGCTGGTGACCTTTAATTGACTGTAACCCAAAAGAAAAAGTAGCAAAATCTTATTCTCTGCCAATAGAGCTAAAATGAAATTGTGTTTTACTACATGTTGATTATACTGGAAAAACTGCATCACCTTTATTGTTGGCATTAATCCATTAATAACACTGAGCTCATTATATGGACCTCTTGCTTTGCTATATTAGTAGAGCTCTCTTTCATTTTATAGCTGGCTTAAGTCCTGCTGAGATTCAGCAGTTATGGAAAGAAGTTACTGGAGTTCACAATATGGAAGACAATGGCATTAAACATGGAGGGCTAGACCTCACTACTAACAATTCCTCTTCTACTACCTCCTCTACCACTTCCAAAGCATCGCCACCAATAACTCATCATTCCATTGTGAATGGACAGTCATCAGTTCTAAATGCAAGACGAGACAGGTAATGAGATTACTCACTTGCTTTTTCATCTGCCATAAAAGTGCATAGGTATGACTCACACAATAAAGAAATAACTCCATGATTGAAGTTGTTGAGTTGCTTTGGACCTAATATCTTTGATTTAGAAAATAATTGAAAATCAATTAGAATAATCATATATTTTCCTTGTCTGAGTTGTAGGATTTGTTATTGGGAACTGACTAGAATCTTTCTCATGTAGAGCCTTTTCAGTGGTGAATATGAAAGACAGAGTTCACCAAATATTATGATAATGCAGTCTTAATTATTTTGCTACATATCTACCCTGGCCTTCCTCTAAGGAGTTTAAGGCTGAGTGTGTAGTTCTTCTCTACACATTTTATCTCACGTTTTTTCTCCATGCTTTTTTTAACTCCTGTGACATAGAAGAGACTGAGGGAGTGTGAGTTCATAGTTCATACAGCAGGCTTCATTGCTGAGTGGGGATTTGAACCTAGCTCTTCCCAGTCCCTCTAGCTACTATGCCACAATGCTCTTTTTTCATTTTGCTGGGGCCTATCAAAGAGTGCTGAAGAAATCATTCTAACATAATGGAAGACAGAATATTTGCTGGAACAGTACTGAATAGTGTGCCATTGGCACTAAATACCTCATGATTGTTCAGGGCCCAGTATGAATCACTTCTGAACTTTAAGAGAATGCAGAAGATCTTGCCCCATCCAAGAAAGCAGTTACTTCTGACAGAGGGTATTCCTCTGAATTCAACCAAAAGTCTTTCAAAGTTAGTCAACTAACGATTCCAATTAGTTGAAATTGATCTTGAGGCACAATTCTTGCAAAGGAGTTTAAAGGTGCAGTCCTATGGGTTGTGCCCCTCAGTTATCATAATCCCTCCACTTGGTATCATATGCTCATCCAGTATAGAGGAAGAGGAACAGCAAAAGTAATCTGTGCCTTCCCATCCTCCTGCCTGGATTTTTTGCCAGGTGGGCCTTTGGGCCCATCTGGCTAGTGAAGGAGACTGAAGAGGTTTCAGGATAGCTCACATCCTGCCCCACCAATTTCTTCCTCTCCTGCCCACTGAAATGTTCCCTTTCCTTCTCTCCAAGGTCACTTTCCTAACCTCAGAGGGTAGGTCAAGTGGTTCTTTCCCAGCATCAGAAAGGAGCCAGTGCAGGGAAGACAAATCCCTGGCTCCCAGCTGTGAGATTAGACTGGTGTCTCTCAACTTGTAGCTAGTAATCTGAACTACCCTATGGCCCATCAGACACTTATCAGACATTGACTAGGGGCCATAAAATTGCTGTTGACTAGGAGCCAAAGAATACACATCAGACAAATAGTAGTTAGGGGAAGAATAGCTGAAGGTAAGGAAAGTACAGTTTGAGAAGTTTTGTGGAAGGTGTAATTTGGATTCATGGATTGAATCTAGAATTTATTTTCAGATTCCATGTATGATTATATGGTGCCTATATTGTTTTATCTGGATATGTGATTTTGTAAAGGAATTGAGCAGTGGAAGTATAAGTCTGGAGTAATCAAATACTATCCAATTATTAATAATTGTGATACAGTATTTTAATTGTGTGTGTGTGTAGAGAGAGAGAGCATTTTTTCTTAACTATCACTTGTTTACTCAGTTATGATATTTTCAGAACAGTGAGCGAGATGGCAGAGCAATGGCCCTTAAGGCTGTTCAGTAGAGTTGTTTACATAGAATCATATGTTCATTTGAATGTAAGCTAGCTTACAAAAAGAACTGTAGGCAGTAAACAAATTGAGTTCATTTGTTGGTATATTGCAGCATATTTATCATATTACCTTTCAGTATTTGAAAATGATAACATCTAGAGGTACATTTCATTTTGGCATTTCAATTAAGGTTACTACTTGATAATATATCAAATAAGGTGGGTTCCCCCCCCCCCCGGAAACAAAGGGCCAATTTAAAGTATTGTGGAAGAAAAAAGAAACTGTTGCTAATAATTACTAAAGAGATAGATTTTTTCCAGAAACAGAATCAAATACATGGTTGTTTGGATGCACAATATCACACAAGTTATGGAAACACTGCCTAAGGATAAAAACATTACTGAAAATGATTGTATTAAAGTTATTCATACATATTAAAATAATGTATGGAAACATTTATAGATCTCTACTGGTTGTCTTAAATATGTCTCTTGGAGAATTAATGTATTTTATTTTTATTTAGAGTTTAAATGTTACCATGAGGTCATATGGCTAAATTAGCATAGTGTACAATACAGTAATGTTTCTTCCTTTATTAACCGTCATCTTTGACTCTATTTTTTCTCTAATTAGAACATCATCTTGTCTTAGCAGTTGAACTATTCAGTGAATGATTAGATTTTTCTGACTGCTCTGAGCTGAATTGACCTGTTTTGACCTGTTTGTCTCTGATTTTCACTGATAGGCACAAGAAGGCTCCAAGTACTGTTAGTTTTGAGATGAATCTGATGCCATGTTCTTTTACCACAGCTCATCACATGAGGAGACTGGAGCCTCTCATACTCTCTATGGCCATGGAGTTTGCAAATGGCCTGGATGTGAAAGTATTTGTGAAGATTTTGGACAGTTTTTAAAGTAAGTGTTTGTTCGTTAACAAGAGTTGTGCAAAGCTGCAAAGATAACAAGTAAATCTCAACTGTAAAGACAGAATATTATTGGTTTGTGTGCCTGGCAACCAGATAAGGCTAACTGGAGAAGGCTGAGTGGTTACACTTTCTTTCATGTAAAATATATCAGCAAGCTCTTTGTGGCAAATGTTTACCCTACTTCTTTGCTGAAATGTACCCTTGGCCTATTTGAGGAAAGCTTTTGATTACACATTTAATAGAAAAGATATATGCAATTGTGTGTGTCTAGACCTGTAAGAAAAATTAATGTGCTTTTTTATCCTGCTTTTTAACTACTGTTCATGAGCATACTCAGTGATTTCAATGAGTCATATCTCCAGTACTGATTTGCCTTATGGCCATGCAACAAAGTTACTTGAAAGTTCCAGTGCACTCATGGAAGTCAGTGAAAACTGACTTGAAACTTTTTTCAATGAAAACACTGAAATAAATGAATATCCTCAGTTAGTAGTCCTCCTCATTCACATTAGTGAGGAGCGGTTAGGCTAGATTAGATTTTGGATGCCATGTTTCTGTGAGAAAATTACATTAAAATAGATAGCTATATAGAAAACAACCAAACAGCGAATACTCAAAACTCAAGTGTTCATGAGCTCCATAGTCCCAATATAATAAACTGCAAGAGAAGCACTGAATCTGGTACAGAGCAACATAACTAGAACTACAGCCTGTGTCCATAAAACCTCCCTACATGCCTGCAGGAGTTTGCAGTGGGGAATTTTGCTTTCTCCAGATCCCATACCCTCCCAGTGACACATTGCAGCCTGTTTTTACATTGTGCTCAGATTTAAATAAATTCCATGCCATATTTAAGAAATGGTACTGGCTGCTACTTAGAAAGGAGAAAAATTCTATTCATTTGCTAACATGCTTCTTCAGAATATGGCATATATCTGCACATTTTAAAAATAAGGCATGCATGGGTAAAAGAAAAGTATCCAGGTAATGATAGATAAACAGTTTTGTAAAGTTTGTCTACACCAAGAAGGCTGGACCCAAATGGAATGATCTTTGATAGAACAGTCGTGTGGGGCTTTATTGTACAAAACATCCTAATGGAAAGTTATAAATAGGTTTATATAGATGAGTAACTTCACAAGCTGAGGCTCTTATGTTGTCATGGTGCAGCTAACAGGGTGAATGAACTGCTTCATGCTTCATCAACAATTAAGTTAATTAGCGTATTTGAAATTACACTGCTTTGTTGCCAGGATGTTGGTAGAAACATCAGAAAGGCCTGTTTACAAATGGTATACAACCAGGGTATATAGAAGCAACAGTTTAACAACAAGACATAGACACACAACATCATGATGATTTTAGAAGAGAGCTATATTTTTGCTGGTCTAAATGCTGACATAATTTACTGTAAAATATATAATGATATATTTATATTTACCTTCCTGTTTCATTTTAATTTCTCTTCTTGTTTGTACAGAGAATAGCATTTAGGTGTGAAGCATAATTTTAGAGATTTCTACCCAAGTTTAGAAGAATAAGATTGATCTAAACTGTTTCTGTTTGTAGATTAAAGAAGTTACTGTTTGTGTGTGGGATTTATATAAGCCGCTGTAAATTATTCCATGTGAAAATAGCCTACATACAGCATATATTGTTCTAAGCATAATTGATACCAAGAGTTTTAGCCAACTTAGCTCAAGCCTTTTCCTCTCCAAGCATAACTAATTTTTATAAATACTTCCATCCTTTCAGGGTCTAGTGATGTTAATGCTTGGTTCACTGCTTTCCTAGTTATTTAGTAGGTCTCTGGCTTTCTAATCCACAGGCACTAGAAACATTTTGATTAACAGTAATGTGCTTCTGTGATTACCATTGTTCCCATTTTTGCTGAACTGTGTGACTCATTAAAGAGAACATCCTGATTGTTCTTGTTTCAGACCAAGATATGCACTTGACTTTCCAGTTTCTGTCCTCTAACCCAGGCCTGCCAAAGTTGTATCCCTTAATCATACGTACCCTTCCATGTCAGGTGCTTGCTACCCACTACCTGTTTGGGCTACAAAATCTATGGTGTGGGGAGGGTATTCAGCACCTAATGGACTGAGGGTATTCCACACAGAAGCTGTTAAACTTGCTATAATCCAATAAAAATGTAAGTTGTGAGCACTGTTGTATGTATTCCATTAGACATATATACAAACTCAAAGATATAAAAACTATCAGCTTCTTTCTCTTTTAAATTATAAAGCATGTTACAGTAGCCTTGTCGCTATTCAGCCAGCCACCCCATACCTTTTTTTGCTTACACAGAATAGTCCCATTTTAATTTTAGAAACCTTTTATTTCAATTCATCTTCAACTTTTAGACCCAAAGAATGGCTTTTTTTTTTCCAATCCATTAACTTTATAGGGGACGACAGATCTAATGGCAGTAGTTTTCAGGGCCTTGCTCTTAGTCTAATCTTTGCAAGAATGCTATAGGTTCTGGCTTGAAACAGTGTGGTACTTGTTAATAAAGCTAATGCAAGTATACTGTACTGAAATTAAATATTTACATGAAATGCTAACCAAATCCAGTGTCCATTTCTACAGTATGCTTGTAACAAGAATTCTAACATGTTCAGAAACCAGTTGAAGTTGATGCCTTCATGTGTGTATTTTTATTTTTTTTCCATAAACAAAAAACAGCTGAGCTGAAACATTTGAGAAGGGGATTAAGACAGAAAACACAGTGGCTTTGCTTCATTTTTTAAAGTGAAGAATAGCTTGCAGAATACAACTTATAACCATGAAAAGTTTTTATACTTCCATTTTTCTTGCTCTGGTAGGCAGTATTTTGATGATAAATGTAATTATAGTGCTGTATACACAGAAGTTTAGAATTCTCAAAATTCCATCTTGTGTGCCTGTTATTTTCAAACAAACATGTTTAGCCTTCCTCATAAAGTGTTATCAAACAAACTTCCACGCTTTTGTTATTTTGTACCTAGGGAAGCCTGGCCATAAGAAACTGATGGGTAATTTTCAGTCTTGATAAAGGAGTGTAACATTATGGTAACTCATGAGCATGTGAGCCATTCAGCAAAAGCGATTCTGTACAAGTAATTCTTTCTGGCAGAAGAAAAACATCAAAATTTAAAGTCTGGTCAGAAAATATTATTGCACAACTGCAGAGAGAACAATTATTGAACAGAATACTGAGCAATGAAGAAAAGTGATTAAAAGACTGCCAAAAATGTTTAAGAATTTGTTTGGAATTTTACTATAAAACAGGTGTTGACAGAAGCTAACCATTTTGCCGGTCACCAAGCAAGGAGCCCTGAAGATCACTAAAAGCATTTAATAGTAGTTCTTCATTACTGTCTTATAAATGTCAGGATGTAATAACATATGACAAAACTTTGGTGTATTTTGTCTGCAAAACTAATTATCATTCCATTGGTCCTAAGTCAGTTTGAGTGTAGATGGATTTGACTTTTAGAGCTTTAAATCAAAAGGTTTATACTATAGCATTCCAGCCAGCAGACAAGCGTTCTTTAACCTGCATACAGCAGACGCCAGCAAAACAAAACATGATCTACAGTACAAAGACAGGCAATGTTTTCCTCTATAGAGACAGAATTGTTAGTGTAGAGAGAAAAAAAATCATGCTACCAAAGAAGATAGGGCTGCTTACAACAGGAAAGATTGCTTTTATTATCAGAGCCTTCAAAGGGTAGCAACTTGATGCAATAGAAAGAGTAATATAAATTAATTAGGCATCAAACTTCGTATGACTTTTTCTCTTAATCCACGCACACACAAAGAGAGAACGAGAGAGAGATTGTTGTTATGCACTCTTCTGCATATTGTGTAGATTTTCTTTGGCTTTCACTAGGCAGTCTGATTCCAAAATTATGACCTCAAGAAAGCATTCTTTGAACTTGTCAGAATGTTGTTTCTTTGGGTGACAGTGCCATCATCTTTCAAAACTAAGACATCTGACACAATCAACTAAATGAATAGTGACATACATTGAATAGTGACATACATACAAACACATTTTGTAGTTAAACTCGTAGTGTTTAAACATTAAAGCTTGATGCAAAATAAATCAAACACCACTGATGCCTAAGTGAAACATGTTGCTGAACCAGTCTCTGACATCTTAAGATTTAAAGCAAATCCTCATTCTGTCTTTGGGAATGCCATACTTTGCACCAAAAAAAAAAAAAAAAATTAATGTTAAAATCGGTTTACTAATTCCTATTATTTCAGTATAATCTAGCACGTGCCATTTATTCCCTAAAGCCTGCAGAACCAGAAAAAATAAACATTAGATAAATGGAAGAGGGTTCCCCCCCGCCCCCGCAACTCTCCCCACACACACACAAATATATATGTAGTCAGGGAAGAATGTTTTCCTAATTGTTTCCTTAGAAATATGACTGCATATTTATATTTTTTCATGTGCAAGTCTGGCAGCTTACACAGAGATTCATGCAGTTTTGAAAGAACATCAGTCGACCACATCATTTATTCCATTTCGAAAACAAAAATCAATATACCTATAAAGTGACCCATAAATTAGAACTGGCTCGCACAATGTTTGTTCAGTGCTGCCTTTCTAAAGGCACCCTTTGCATTTTTTTCTTCACCTCTCTGTTTGAACTGCAGTCACAGTAAGAGGCTCATTAAGGGACATTAGGGACTGGAGCTCACCAGAATTCCAGCGCTTGCTTTGCTCTTATTAATGCATAGTAGAGTAGAATGCATTTAAATATTTCATAGGCATTCAGTAATTTGTGTGTAATCGCCTTGTTAGCAGACCAGTAGAAGTAGAACAGGTCTGTGAAATGGTGTTGGTGATTGCATGGGTAATTTACAGACCTTTGCCATCAGAAAGAGCATTATTGGGGGCTAGAATGAAGCTGTGAAAAAGAACCAGCAATAAGTCAGAGGGGGGAAAAACTTAATAAAGGTTTTGTAACAAGCATCTTCAGGGATAACAACCCACTTGGTTCTTTTTGAAGCAGCTATAATTTATGACATATGCAATATATCAAATGCATAAGATAGTATTATGGAGCATTCATATGAAAAGGGTATTTGCAACATTAGTTCCAACTTCCTGCAAGGGACATGATTAAATGATTAATGAAATGTCCCTTTGCATATGCATTTTGAAACAGCAATTAGGCACTGACTGAGAAAATCCACCAATCCTCTCATTTTTCAGTATTATCTCATTCTTGATTTATAAATCATAGAGAATTTTTGAACAGCAATATGTACCTGAGACGGTTGTAAAAGCATAAAAGAGAATAATTTGAGTGTAAAATACTCATAAATACATGAATTCATAATTTCATGTTAATTTCTAGCATATTTATTTAGTCCTCTAGCATTGTAGTTATATCCAGCACTATTTCTGTACTTTGATTGGCATAATTAAGACAGGGAAATGAATAGGCCCCATTATTTTACATATCACTGGTAAACAATAGCAAGGAAAGGAGAAGGGAGATGTGGCAGAGGTATGTATGTGTTTTTCAAGTTCTCAGTAATCCACTGGAGGCTGTTCTATAAATGATCATTGAAGGGCTGCAAGCTAGCCTATAATTACAGGAAAGAAAGTGGCAGCTCTGGCATTTCATAACTATGTGTCCTCAAAGTGCTTTGTGAGTTTGTCACCAATGATAATTTAGATAGAAGCTCATTACTGAACATCACAACACTTTAAAAACCTTTTGCCTTCATACAGGAGAATAAAGGACTATTTTAATGGCAAGGTTCTTTTGTGTTCTACTGAAAAATTCAATCAAGACAAAACCTCATTGACTATTATTGTAGTCTACAGTTGCTAGCCTAATAAAAGCAGCACAGATAAATTGAATAGGTCTCTGTAAGACTGGAGCACATAAATGCAAGCATTTTGCAGGTTTTTAGTTCTTTAAATATACAAAGATGAATTAGAACTAAAATGTAAACATATGTATGCCCTGATCCAACTAGAACATGGGGCATATGGGTGATGGCTTCTATACATATGCCCATGGTTGGATAGAGAACGCTGGTGCAACTCGAGGCGGCATGTGCCCTTTCTCGCTTGTAGCTACCACAAGCCACGGTTATGCAGGTGGAACTGCTTTTTTAAAAAGTTAAAAATCATTGACTGCTTGCAAGAGCAATGTGTATGGAGGGGGCTGGATTGGCAAAGCATGTGTGTGCCTAAAGATTTAATCCCCGGAGTCTCCAGATAGGACTGGAGAATATTGCTGCCTGAAACCCTGAACAGCTGCTATTCTTCAGTGTAGACAGCAGTGAGCAAGATGGAGCAACAGTATGATTCAGTATTAGGCAGCTTCCTTTTGGTACTAACCAAATGCTTAGTACCAGGTTAAGAGTGAGATCTGTGCACAGTCGAGTTAGATTGGAGCATTGGGTTACTCTTTCTCAATAGCATTCATGGTAAAAAAAGTATCTTTCTCAGCTGTTGTATTGTTTCTGGTTTTACTCCTCACTTTTATACAGGGCAATCATTTCTCAAAAGCAAAAGCAGTGGGTGCGTCTTTCCCCATAAGTTTGCTGTGGTTTGTGTCAGTCCAGCACTGCTAGCTAGCATAGTACTGACATAGTGCATAGTAACTGGGGAAACTTCACATTGCAGGAGAAAATCCTCTCCCCCATTCCTGATTGCACTGCTTGCTCTGGTTCCATACAATGTAATATAGTAGTGAAAATGATTAAACCAGATTGCAGGCATCTTCTGGTCTTGTCAATTTTGCTCCCAAGGGATACTAACAAAAAGAGGAAAAATGTTCTTGATTGGTAGCATACTTCCGGAGAGGAGGCATACTGCTCTTTTTTCTTTTTAAAGGGCTACCTGTGTGAATATGTGGATAAAGACTCATCCTTTCATGTACGCAAATAAAAGGTAAAAAAAAAAAAAAAAGCACAAACACAAACCCTCTAAAAAAGTTCCAACATTGCCCCAAGCATGGGAGGGGGAGAGTATGTTCCCCCAAGTGGCCACTGTTCAAGAGGTGCCCATGTTAATTTACTAGCTCGGCTGCAGTAGAGCTTGTTTCAGCTTGTCTGGAGGACTACATCAGCCTTTATTTTCCGCTTTTTCTAAACTCTGTTTCCCAATGCCCGCTCCAGGTATTTAAGGGCCCTTCGGCAAGATACCTTCAGAGAGCCCTCTACTTCACCTTTTACTGCCATTGTCATGTGCAGCTATTGCTTCTCATCTTTCTCATTATTCTTGCCACTTGCTTGCTTGACAGACTGAAAAATAGTGTGCAGGTAGGCATTGGCATCTAATACTGCTCTTTACCACCACCATTGTCTGAGCCATAGAAAGAGGCAGATGAACAAACAGCTTGCCATGGTGACATACAGGAGCAAGTCCAGAGTGCTCTTGTCAATAGGCCTGCCTTCAGCAGGTGCCCAGCCTTGCCACCATCCTGAAAAACTCACAGCATTCCTGACCATTGGCCATGTAGACTAGGGCTGGTGGGAGTTGAAGTCCAAATCATCTGAAAGCCAACAGGTTGTGGAAGGCAGTGCTACAAAAATTTGCAGCACTCTAGTTTAACTGGAAACCATTTCGTAAATAAAGCATTTGCATATGTGCTTTAAGCAGTGACAGTTGGGCAATGCATTGCCACAGAAGGGTTGTACACACCTCAATTCTTAAACCCCCCCCACACACACACACACCTCATTGTCTTGTCAAATGCAGCATTAACATTTTGTAGATTTTTTTTCCCATTTTGACTGGATCATATGCTTTGTTTCCTGGAATGAATGAATGAATTAATCCCTGGCTACTTCCAAACACAACAACAATTAGCTCTTTCCTGCTACAGAGCAGGATGTTATGACCTGAAAGAATTCACCTTCTCCTTGATCATGAGGATGAACTTATAGGTTGAAACATCAGATCTATCAGGCACATACAAAAAGCCACAGAAAACAATGCACTGCATTTGAAAAATTCATTGACAGAATTGTGCAAAATTAGAAAAGAGGACAAGAAGTGTGCATATATGTAGCTAATTTTAATGGACATGTAAGTTAAATTTAATGATATAGTCATAATTGTAAAACATGGTGCTGTATGTCATGAGTCAAAATTCATCAGGAGTGATAAAATTTCTCACTTTTTCAGCACTCACCTTACTAAAAATTCAACAACCATCCCCATTTCATCCTGAATACAACTCCTTGGAAAGCTTTTGGCTGTACACAATCCTATCTTGTGGTTTCTAAAGTGTTCTCTCAATTGCTATTCTGTGTTCTTTGCATGTAAAAATACCTTTGAAGCAATGTGCCAGTGCAGTGTTTAGAGATCCAGGACTCTTATATGTAATTTTTTGTTAATATCGCATAAAAACTTAACAGGTATCAGGTATGGTAGAGAAAGTACATTTTGAAATAACAGGAGAAATAAATCATTTTCTACTTACTAAGGACTGTCTAAATACAATCCATAACTGAAGGAGCAGATGATAACTGTTGCATCTTGTACTACCATCCAGTTAATTTAAGCATTTTGTACAGTTCTCTTAATGTTTTCTTTAGCAAAGTGAGGACACTTAATTTAAATCTATTATACACCTTTGTTTTAAAATAATTGTAAAAGATTTCCATTGGACTTCAGTTAGCTGTATGAGAAGTAACAATAGCAAATCTATCTGGTTAAAATATTTTTAGGTATTTTTCTTCTTTTTTTGAGAACTCATTAAAGTGAGGCTCAGAATGATACTGACTGGAGCTGAACTTAGTTCAGACAAATTCTGTTTCAATTCCCCCACAGACCACTGCCAAGGTACCTCTGCCCTCAGCTCTAGCATTTTGCTATTTTAGTCCTGGGATTCTAAACAGAGACTGACAAGAGTACAAAGTTCTGCTGGGGCTAATTGAAATGACTAGGTGTCCACTGGAAATCTGACTTAAAGTAAATCTACTCTAACTTTCTTTGATGCAAGTTACTTTTTGTTTTATACCAATATAGATACCCTTTATAAAAGTCTAGTAATGTTTTAAGATCACCAATTTGTTCTTCCCAAAACTAACCTACTGAGTTCTCTATTTTTCCTACTTGGGAGTGTTGGATAATGTTTCATCAAACTATATTCTTGTAGTGAATATTTCTACAGATACAGATCATATTTTATGGATATTTGTTTAGCCCAGTATTAAGTTTCTAAAAATGAGAGGCAATAGAACCCAGCCTGACAGTCCATAACACTTTCTTCTTAATCCTATATGTCAGGAAGCCGACACATTTCTTACTGTTGAACAAGAGTCACTTCTCTGATTTGGGATGTCATATGTTCTAGAAGTGAGGTCTGAGATTCTAGTTTTTGAGAGTCCCTTAGGTCAGGCTGTCTGCTTAGCGGATGCATGCCTACTGTTTACACTAAAGTTTTACAAATTAAATTACCTATATATTAGTAAAATTAAAAACATTGTTTCTCATTTCTATTCTACTAACATCTATAGGTCTCCAAAGGAAAATGTCTTACGAGTACAATCCTATGCATATTTAGACAGGAAAAATGTCCTATATGGTTGGGGCATGCTGGAAGTTGTAAGAGTGTTTGCCATCTAAACACATAAAGGATTCTATCCTAACACTCCAATGCCCTGAGGGTGTTCAGTAGTAGTAACATGTAGCAAAATAATACATGAGAGATATATGGAGCTTGAATATACAATTTCTTTACTTTTGATTTGCCCCGTTTCATTTGTTCTAGATGTATGTTGTAGCGAGCAACCCGATTACAGCTTAACCGATTGCAGAGATAACTGATCCTTATGGAAAAAACAAAAAGCTTAGTAATATATTTTTCCAATCACACAGAATCTACTTGTAAATTTAGTATCATACAATCTCTCTCAAAGTAATTTGGAGAACTATTGGTAGACTGGGCTTCCCTAGCCACAAGTAAAACTTGTTATATTATTCCCATATTTCCCAAATGAATTCAGATATATTCACTCTTTGACCTAATTTCCTGCTCTCCAATTGGTTCTTAAGCCCATTCAGATGTAATATGTGTGCGAAAGGAGTTTTGAACACATTGATAAGATATCAAGAGAAACTAGGCCTGTAAAAGAGTTGGTCACCTTATAGCTAACTGTTGGAGCATGTATCTTCTTCAGCCTTAATGTCTGTCATCTGTTTTTCTGCATTTGAAATAAAGGTTTAATAGAAGTATGGAGCAAGATACCTGCTGGCAACCCTTATTTTCCCCCTTTTTAGCTGATAGTAATTCATAGAGATGGGACTGTTGCCTTTCTCAGTGATGTAGAGAAGGTTTGTTTCTCCCCCAGTGCGAACTGTTTAGATAGAGTGGTCTGATTCGCAGACCACCAGGGGAGGAGTGGGGGCAGGGGGGACAGCAAGGACTTTGAAGTTTCAATGTTACCTAGTGAAGATTCTCAGGCAGAGTGAGAGAACCAGCCCACTTTGGAAGTGGCGGCAAGTCTTCAGGATGGGAGTGGGAGCATATGTGAGACCTAGTCCTTGCTCCGGTAAGGGAGAAATGGGTCTTCAGCATTCCAGCCATCTTGCCTTCATGCAGCAAGAGCCACCCTGAGGGTAGAGTCAGAAGCTTAACTGAAAGGAAATCAAGGAAATTTTCAAGTTTGGATTCAACTCTACATGGGCTTCACTCCCAACTTTGGAAGAAAGCTATTTAGAGTTCATAATGCTCTGTAATCTGTTAAGTTTCAATAAAACTTTTGCACTTCAAAGGATTGTCTTGCTACTTACACATGGTAGTATTGCACCTACTTCCTACTTGTCATGTAAGGTTCGGTTCGGTTAGGTTAGGGGGTGACTGCAGATTTAAACCCAGTTCTTCTCTTTCCAAGTCAAGTGTTCTATCCACTATACTGAGTGTCATGAGCAAGTCTCTTCCACTCTCCTTTCCTCTTCAGCAGACTCAGATGAGACTTGAGAAGCACACTCATTTTGCAGACAGTACAAACCAAAATAGCACTCTCCCCAAGGTGTGGGAAAAATATCTCCCCATGTAAAAAATGGAATCTAGATTGAAACTTCCCTCCTTTTCAGAAAAAGTTTCTGACTGCCCTCAGGGTCACCATCTCCTGACTGGGTCAAGGAACTCCTTCCCAATACTCCGTGTCCCACTCTGAAATGTCTCCCTTCTTTTCCAAGGCAGGCTAGTTCTTACACTGTGCCTGAGAATCTTCGTTAGATAACCTTGAAACTGCAAAGCTATATGCCCAACCCTGCCCCTCCATTCTGTCCTCAGAACCTGATGTCTCTGTGTCTGCAGACTGTAACACATGAAAGCTAGGGTCCACCTCTGCAGCTTGTATCTTATCAATATAATAAATGGATGCCGTAGGCTAGCACAAATTTTACAGCAGGTCACATTTTTTTCTGAAATACAGGACAAATTAGAGAGACTAGTGTGATATTCTTTAAGGGGATGCAGACTCTTTTTGATGAGAGAGACAAAATCTGAAAAATAGGTGCAAAACATTGTTGTTATAGGGATTATTAATCTAGTTTCACTCTGATGTAGTAAGTCTTTCATGGGAGTGATAGTATTTGCTATTTTTGTAATTAGCTTTGCTAACACTGCCATGCATGTGCTGAATAGGGGTATAGCTACCTGTATGTTTTTTATCAGTACATGTTTATAACTTGGAACGAGTGTCACAGATCCATCAAAAATCTATATGCACAGACAAATATATGGTGTATCGCATGTTCGGGCAATAGTTACTCATTGATACATGTGGTTCATCAGACTGTGTGTTTCACTCATTCTTACTTAAAAACCAATCCCCATATTTATTGGATTCAAATTACCATGTCATATTTATTTGGAAATCTGTGAATAATTTAGATTTGTATCAAATTAACCCTCCCAACTGCTAAGATCTTAATTGCAATAATAAATCATAGACATGGTTTAAAATATCTGTGAAGTGCAGACCAGAATTCTATGATGTGTCACACAGCAAATTAATATATCAATTAGCTTTCTATCTGTTTACTGTAATTTCAGGATCAGTCATTAGGCCATGATTAATAAAAGAAAAACCTTAAACTATTTTACACAGCTGGTTGTTCTTGAAGCATGACACCTGCTTTTAGAAGCAAATTATTATTTTACCCAGAAGGTTGAGAAAATAAGTAAACATACCTTTTTCAAGCCAAAATCATTTTTTTCATTTTTAGAGAAGGCCAGTTCAGATCCTTTAAAAAGGCCCTGTTCAAATAACTTTCTAGGGAGAAATCGCAATTTGGTAAAAGTCTTTATCCTTCCGAGGAACACACAGCAAGGTACAGATACCTCATATTCAGATGGAAGTGATAGAGCACTTTTCATTTGTTACTTTTTGTATAAAATGAAGGTGGTCAGGTTGGGCGAGAAAGTGGAAATGTAGTCAAGGCTCTTATTGGGTAAAGAGTTCTCCCCTGAAAGTGAAAGATTAATTACTAAATATACAGTTGCATAATACATGATCTTTTCGATAGCGTCAAATCCACTCAAAATCATCTTCACTGCCCCTTCACTTTTGTGTGCATTCTCTTTCTTTCCCTCTCTTGATTTTTCCCTTCTCTCTCTCTCTCTTGTTCCCTCTTTTTAACAAAGCAATCCAAAAAATAAACCTTATTGTGCAATTCACTATCATTGGCTTTGCAACTGTTCATTTCAGTCAACTTTTTTTTCCCCACATTCAGCCACATTAGAGAAATGCATCTGTGATACAGAGTGGACATTCTAATTTATGCCGTTCAAAGAAGCCATTTCATAATTGCTAGCATTATCCAATGACTTAGCAAGGGAAAAAACGTGCTCCATAATGGTGGAGGTGAAAGAAAGAGGTCATCAGTTGGCAACCGCACTCATGGCTTTAGGCCTGCCTGAAGTGACTAGCAAGAGAGGCAAATTCAAGTAGGGCAGGGGTAGGCAACTTGTAGCCCTCTAGATTTTTTCCCATATAGCGACTGTGGTTCTTCTTTGGAGGGCTAGAAGTTGCCCAACCCTGACGGTGGTTAAATGATTATGCAAATTTTTATTTAGGCATTTTGTAGTCCCTCAGTTCTTACAAATTAAGAATAAAAAGAATGAGCTGTAATGCAAAAGAAGCGTGTTCCCAATTACTGTGACCCATTTTCGTGTGTCTCTTGTGGCATCCCTTGCCTAATCAAGACACAGAACACCCACTTTTCTACACAGCAATTAGTGATGCATTCCCACAACTAGAAACGCTGTTATGTGCATCCAGTGGCATTCTATAGTGGCTTGGCAAGGAGAAGACTTGTGCCACATCATGTAATTTGGCAATTTGGGCCACTGGATGCAAGGGCAGTCCTTTTGTGCCTATCGTTTGTCCATATGAAGTGGATTTTCTATTACCACCTTTGCAGTAGGCAAAAAAATCCCTCTTACCATTAATGCAAATTCTGTTTGTAGAACAAACATATATTGAGATTCTGAAGGTTACCTAATGTTGTATTCTTTATTATTTATTCTCTTACTAGGCACCTTAATAATGAACATGCATTGGATGACAGAAGCACTGCTCAGTGTCGGGTGCAAATGCAGGTGGTTCAACAATTAGAAATACAGGTTTGGGAAAATACTCATCTTCTGGATATATCTGATTTCCCTGAGGAAATATTCTGCTTTTTATTGTGTTCTATATAGACTGTTAATATTTAAAGTGTCCAAATTTTCATTTTGTTATGCTGATTGGCCATGCGGTCCAATTCATGTCTATTCAGAGATAAGTTCCACTGAGTTCAATGGGGCTTAAGTTTAAGTGTTCACACACAATAGATTTGTTAGGTTTTGCTTAGCCTTCTTTTGTAGACTCTCCCTTTTCTTCAGCTGACTATGCCATCATGGGTTTCAATAACTAAATACAGGGTACACTTGGTATAGGATTGGGTTAAATGTAATAGTATGCCACCCCAGCCCAGCCCTTCAGTCCTAGATACATACTAATTATCAAAATTCTACAAAACAACCCTCCATAAAGACCCATCCATTTGTATGTGATTATGTATATACTTATTACCACAGATAGCCTATCATGGCTACTCATCTGTCACTAGCAACATGCTGCCCTCACAGCTGTGCTCTACGTAGTCCCCTTCCATGCATCCTGCAGATGAGCACGACTCAAATGTCTCTCTTTGTTGTTATGGTGAACAATTAGGTTAACATGCAGGAGTCTTATAGCTGTACTATGTCCACTAACACATCCTAGGTACACATCTTGTTAAGAGAGAAAGAGTTAAAGCCATGAATACTATGGTATAAAGAGTAGGATTTTCAGAGCTGTCTCTTTTTTTGAAGGCGCGCTTATGCAACAGTATTCATCTAATGACTTCATTGATCCTTTTTGGTGGCTCTCAACATGATAATCTTTTTGTCATGTAGTTACTCATAGTCCAAACATAATATTATCATCACCTCTTGAGTGCCTCATGTAGATCAGCTTTCACAGTAGTCAGCCAAAGCATAGCTGGGATTGATCACTGATAAATATTAGTGCAATGATGGGCAACTTCAAGAGATCCAGTGGCCATTTTTGTCACCCAGTTCATCCCTCTATGAGCTACTACTCTCCCTCTGTTTTCCTCCCACAAATTAAAATGACTATTAAAAACAGCATCCAGGGTAGAAACAGGGTGCCAGCAGATCAAAATCTGCTTCTTTCAAGCTAATTCTGACTGTTGGTGCTTGGTAGGGTCTACGAGTACCACAAGGGTAAAAATGGATCAGAATGGCTGCTCTGAATGCAGTTTTGTTTACTCAAACCTTTGAGTAAATCTAATGTTATTTACACCATTTTTTTTACACAAAAACATTATTTCATTTATTACTATAATTTGGGGGGCATTAGGAAAAGGTAGTGGAAGCTGCATGTCACCCTCCCATTGCTCATCCATACTTTAGTGCAGGTAAGGAGGCAGATGACTGCCATATTGTGGAGTAGAAAAGAGATGAGTCTACTAATCTCTTTAGTAGTCAAGAGTCAAGAAAGATTCAAATGACTTTGGCAAGACATTCAGTTACCTGGTCCCATTGGCAAAAAATACCTTCTATCACCTATCTTACGTATGTTTTTCATTAAAAAATCTCTGGCAAAAAAAGGGGGGCGGGAGAAACAATGACAATTGAATAAAAATTGAGAAATATTTCTCTTATGTTTTAGTGTTGCGGAGTTTGCTTCAGTGAACTAGCCCAAGCCCTTAAGAAGAAGTGGGCTACAGATCTAAAAATATATATGTGCAAATGCCACAAGCATTTTTGTTTTGTACTTAGTAGCACGCTGCATTGAACCTAGCAGAAAATGAAAGCGCAGAACTTGATAAATTTGGTGGGATTTTTTAAATTAATAATTAATCAAATGACTCCCACAACCTTATTAATTGTTTCATGCTATTCAAATTAGCCTTCACAGAATACTGCTTTTAAGGTTTAGACTTCTTTGTGCATTGTATGTTTTTGTGCTTTTTAAAAAATGTGCATGATAATATTTTTGATATTTTAGATAATTGGATGTTATCAGTATCTGGAACTATAAATATAATTCTGTTGAGTGGTATGAAATCTGTTATAATAAAACAAAAAGGGAGGTTGCAGAGAACCCCTGATACATTTTCTGATGCATGTTAAAGGATTTCTTAAGGACTGTTTACCATTTACAAAGACTCTGTTTTAACATGAAAAGCCAAATGAGGTTTCTGCTTGCTGGGTGACCAATTATGAGTCCTTTTTTCTCCCTTTTGTGTGACTGATAGAAAAGTAAGGTCCATCAGTTGTAATGAGACCCAGTACAGTGTAGATGTCGGCTTAGTGGCAGAGTTCAGCATTTCACACTGCCTGGTCCCTGTCACTCTATTGAATTAGATTGATGATGGCAGATTGCAGGGGGCACTAGCTGGACCTCAGTGGGAAAGGATGAAGTGTGCAGACAATCCTAGCAGACACTGTGCTGTGAGGACCCTTCACCTCTTCACAGCTGTTGGCACTAGTCCATTGCTAACAGTGTCCACAGGACTTTAAAGAGACACGATGGGCCATCTAATTTATGGTCCTAGTAACTTGTTATTGTCGAGGCCATAGTGACCTCGATTCTCTTATTGACAAAAAGATGAAGTATTATTTGTTTTCAATGACCTTTTAAACATGAAGAAAGCTGCATGGGCTCCCCACCCCCCGACCCTTCAAAAAGCCAAAGTTGCCTTTCTTCATATAAAAGTTTCTACTGACATAGGATTTCATATGCAGGAGCCATTACCCTATAACAGTCTGCAAAGATAAGATGTATCATATGAGATAAAATAGCTGCATTAGTCATTTCTAAAATGCTTCTGATCCCACTCTTTCTTTAACAGCTTTCTAAAGAACGTGAACGTCTTCAGGCAATGATGACCCACTTGCACATGCGACCCTCAGAGCCCAAGCCATCTCCAAAACCTGTAAGTGCATATTGCTTTATAAACAGTAAATAGGCCCACAAATGTAACAGACTAAGAAAATGAACAATTTAGTGACAGTTGGAAAACAATGAGTGTGATGAAAAATATGGCAATAGAATGAAGCCTAAAATGCAATAGCTTGTCAAATTGTATGTTTCTTTAAAAGTAATGCTATCTTTTACAAAATCTGTCCAATCTGCACCATAGGTGACACTAAACAAAGTACACCTATAAGTGCACAAATCACCGCCTTGCTGCTGAAGCTAGAAAGAATATCTTCTTTGAAATAGGCTCACAGATATTAAAAAGAAAGCTATTTTGAAAAACCTGAAGTTCAGTGGACTCAGTCGCAGCAAAGGAAAAAGTTGGGAGAGTAGCTTGTGTGGATCCGTCACAAGGATAGACCAAAATATGTGGGGCTTTTATAATTATGATTTAAAATATAAACTGCAAAATGCATTCTCCAGCACAACACATTTGCTTTGGATTATAGCCAAGAAAGTGTTGTTTCTTTACTGTGTATGTATGTCATTCTTGAGTTCTTAAACTCAGTGATGTTAGGGAACAGCAAAACATTTATTTAACACTAATATTCGCATGGCCTCAGTGAGATCTCCTGCACTTTTGACTGAGATTTGCAAACTGAGCTATCGATATTGCATTACTTGTCTATGCTTAGAATAGAAAAATACTACAAAAAGATACATGGAGTTATTTGGGAAAGGAAATAGTTATTTTATATGTATGTGCATGTCACAAGTTTTTACACAGAGCTCTATGGCAGGCACACCACATGTTCTATAAATACAGTCAGGGTAAAAGATGATGGGCCTTGGTCTCCAGAACTCTAAAAATGTAGGTGAAAGCAGCAAGGGATTTATAAATCACGCTCCTGTTTTATACCATTAATGATTACATAAAAGAACAGAATAGCTTGTCTCTTGTGTTTCCAGAACTGCATACGTCAAAGATTTTTGTTTGAGGGCACACTTTATAACTTGATGAATGAAAAAGTGTTGACATTTGTTAATACTCCACTTCAGGGTTTCACTTCTTTTATATCAAATTGTTTTCCATGCTAAATTGCTTCTTGTGTATGTTTAGGTTTTAACATCTGAGATATACACTGCTTAAATATTTTTGCATTCTAATTTTCACAAAAGAAGTTTCTGCCATCCTAAAGCATCTTGGTTTGGGTTCCAAATTGTCCTAAACTGTGTAGAAAATGCTTTGCAAAATCAATTTGTATTATAAATATACAAAATATATTAAATATAATTATATTATTTTTGAGGATCAAAAATAATGATTTTAATGTCAAATGAGCTAAAATCATTCCAAATTTTGGGGATATCCAAACTTTAGTGTTGTTACTGTTGCATTCCAATATTTTTTTCTCTTTACTTTCTATAGTATAATGCAGATAATCACATGACAGAATAATTGTCTCATAAATCCATCAGGAATCTGCAGCTTGTTCTTTTCCAATTAATTATTCAATCAGTAAATTTTTTAAAACTCCAGCAGCATGGTTACATCTACACTAATAAAGAATTTTCAGCCTATAATCCAAAACAGAACCTGAATGAATAATGTAATTGAAGTATTACATTACATAAACCACACATGAAAGAATTGCTAATTGCGTTTGATGGTGGGCAATTAATACAGAATCTTAGATGAGTGATTTAAAATGAAACCACAGTTTAGAGTTCCCTTTGGAACCAGAGATATCTGAAGTGGTGAACTATACTACTGGCCTCAAATTGGTTTGAAAAGAGAGTGGTCAATACCAAAAAAAAAAAAAAACCCTAAAATTTATACACTGTACAAAAGAAGCTTCAAAATTGATATGATAGTAGAGATTTATGGTCTCATGTGCAGTGGCTCAGTTGAGACGGCCCACACATTTGATAAATATTAATAGCATGAATTTATTACCAAGGAGAAATGAGCTCTGTTGGTTCATCACTGCACCCTTAACAGCTATCAGTACATGAACACAAGGTGCAACCGCACTGTCTATTATATGACCCCATTTACTCTCTGAATGGTACTTCATTAAATGGTACCTTTTGGCCATGCTATGGATGGATGAAAATCAAAGTTATCAAGGCTGCGAGTCCTGAATAATGAGTTTCACCCAACCTTGAATATATTCAGATGAGCTGAGGTGGCTAAGTGCTCATCCTAGGTTTTACATGCTTTTCTTTAGTTAATAATAAATTCTATTTTATCAGCTCACGATTGCATGCCTACAAACATGTTATGCTTATTATTGCTGGCTAGTAGAATAACTTACCATAACACTGTAAACATAGTGGTTTGCATACATACTGACCTTAGCATTTCCAGACCTTTTGTAATTTCTGAATATCTTTGCAACATATATGCTTTTCTAAGGGAAATTAAAGTAAAGCTTTTAAGACAGAACTTTAGCTGCTTATTTTTTATTGTGGTAGGTTGAGGGTTTTCAGGTAAGTGAGGTATGAATTTAAAGTGTGAATGTATCTAAAGATGGTTTATTTCTGAAGTGAATAGTGTAAGAGATATTTCTAAATGAGATGAAATAAGCTATTGGCATGTCAGTTCAAAGTTTCACGTAATATTACAAGACAGATATACAGTGCAGAATTCTGTATACATACTTTTAGGAACTTAGCAGATAGTTTTCTGCTTCATGTTAACTTAGCAGATAGTTTTCTTCCTTAAACTCTCAGAAATTTATTGAATGCAACATTTTAGCAACATTTTCTTAGTTTCCCAATATGTATATAGCAAACAATAACAGTATGTGGCATACTGGAAACAGATGCACTTGGGGATGCCTTGAGGGTGCCAGTCGTTATTATTAGACTGCTAATGCGCTTCTTCTGGCTGCTGCCCAAGAAAGAAGAACAATTAGCTGGCATATGTTAATTTTTGTTTCCCTAACAAATCTCTCTACTGACTAAATGTGTAAAACAAATCCACAAAGAAAGATCAATCAGTGCCGTGCACCATTAAAAAGAGGTTTATCTTAAGAAGTGTATTTGGGATTTGAAAAGGCAGGTGTTATTAAATTATGAACAAAAGCCAAATTATCTCTGTTTAGTCACTTTAGGCACAGCCCATTGCTTGTCTTGCAGAGTTACTATTCATTTCAGTGGGGCTTGGTACACAGGAGGACTTCCCTGTGGATTGTGCCCTCTGTAATTTACTCCAAATAAAAGCAGAACAATTAATCTGAGCCATCTTGTTCAGTTCTGCACACTGCAATATGCTGTGAAAATGACTATAGATAATCTCTGATGAGTATCAACTAAGTATAAGGCAGCAATCATTTTGGGTGTTGCTGCCCTGAGTATCAATTTTGCTAATTGGATACTATTTATGACAAAAGATGTATGGTAAATATGACAGAGTTAATATGCATTTTTGATAATGAGAAGCAGGGCTTTTCTTGCTGAGGGGTGTAATGAAGGGCACACTGTTAAACAACTTGCATACATTCTCACCTTCTCCCCCACCCCTTACCCTGACACCCTATTTCCAGGGTACATCAGCCATAAGTGACACTGTAATCATAAATTGAAAATGATACTTCCAGAGGAATTGGCAAACTTGACATTTCATTATATTTGTTAACACATGCCACAAATGATTGTTAGTGAAGAAATTCCATTTCCCTTTCTCCATCTCCAATCAGATTTAATTTGAAAATTTTCAGCCTCCTCCGGCTAATTTGCAATTAAGACAATTTTGTTTGAATATGTAGTAATGTCATTACCATTCCACCAAATTAGCAAGGAGACTAAAGGTCAGTGTAAAATTTTCCAGCTGGCTGGAGCCTCTCATCTGAGATTTGGGACTAGGGGAAGGAAATCCAATAGCATCACAATAGCAACTTATTTTAAGTCTATTTATCTAAAGCAAAGGCACCTATCTGTTCTATTGCTGTGGTTTTAGCACAAGATTTGACCTGCCCAACAATAGGGACTGTCAGGTAATAAGCAACTAGATTCTTTTGCAGGGTTACTTAGTTGCAGTCAAGTCTTGTAGGACTAGGAGGGTATTCCTAAGGAACATTGCTGAAGATTATTAGATAACCTCTAATAGCATCCTCTAATTAGAGTTCTTATGATACAGTTTCATTCTGTAATTAGTTGAGATTGGCTGCTTCCTTTTGCAGCTTATTAATGGCAACACAGCTGTAGAAATGAATACACTCTCATTTGTCAAACCTTTTAAATACTTTTCCCCATTTTGCTTATATCTTTTCTCTGCTTCTTCATGGGCCTCTTCAGTTAAATCTGGTGTCCAGTGTCACTATGTCTAAGAACATGTTGGAGACTTCCCCTCAGAGTTTACCTCAAACTCCCACTACACCAACAGCCCCAGTCACTCCAATTACCCAGGGACCCTCAGTAATCACCCCAGCCAGTGTACCCAACGTGGGAGCCATTCGAAGACGACATTCCGATAAATACAACATTCCCATGTCATCAGGTAAGTTATTTGTAGCCAACATATCTAGAAAAATCTACACAGGTCTTGAGGAACAAATTCCCAAATCCCAATACCAAGTTCAGAAAATACATAGTTTTATGAATGCAGTTGTGCTTAGGATCTGAGAGTAAAGAAAAGTTTACTAGTTTGCTAGCATTCCTATAGAACTTCCAGACACATTCTTAAATATTTCTATCATAGAAAGGATGGGGTGGTATGGAATAGTGTTGGTAAGGTAGACCAAATACTGAAAGCAGCACATCTAAAAATGGCTTTGCACAGCATTGTTTATAGATGTTACACATCAGATTGAGGCAGATGCTTAATTTTCAACATGCACATCAAGGATCAATGCTTCTTTATTTATCTATATTGCTTTGTGTGTATCTCAGCATGTGCTTTCAGTGCAAGTCTGTCACAAATGCAAGTAAAATGTTCTCAAGTAGAGTAAGTAACCCTTGCTCGTCGGCGATATGAATTGTGACTATTCACACAAATAATGTAAACCATTTCAATTTTTTAAACAGAAATTGCCCCAAACTATGAATTTTATAAAAATGCAGATGTCAGACCTCCATTTACTTATGCAACTCTAATAAGGCAGGTAAGGTGAAAGAAAACTTTGTCCAATTAAATTAAAAATTGTTACATCTTGCTCAACTTATCCAGACTTGTTAGTAAACTGTTATATTGTGTTGATGTGAATCTTATCTCATTTCAGGCTATCATGGAATCAAGTGAGAGGCAGTTAACACTCAATGAAATTTATAGCTGGTTTACACGGACATTTGCCTACTTCAGGCGTAATGCAGCCACTTGGAAGGTAACTTTTTTGTATGTGTGCCAGCAGTTTTAAAAGAATGCCTAACACAGTTCCTTACAGATAGCACAAGGAACATTTATTTACATGACATAAGCAGATTAGTATCTGCTTCCCCTCTTTTTAACCTGCCTCTTGAATGAAATGAATTCCCTCTCTCAAAATGACAAGTGAAAGAATAATTTTGCCTCTGATATAGTTTTCTAATTTGGTGCAATTAATAGCTGAGGCTTGGCAGAGAAATGAGGGCCTGACACACTAATTACAGTGTGAGCACTCAATCATCAACACCTTTGTTAGTCGCACTATATTACTTTTTCTCTTGCATATTATTGGCTAATTAGTTTGAAAAATGTCTGTTTGCCTTGTGCAACAAATGGAGGCTGTAGGTTTTGTCTTGGTCTATGCCTTTTGTACACATCATACCTCATCATACAGACGGAAGCTGCCAAAGGACTGAGGGCCATGGCTACTCAGCTGGAACTAAAAGAAAAGAAAGTGAATATTATCCTGTCAGACCATAAATGCAGTTTATTTACTTAGACAAAAGGGTTCATCCATATCCCTGTCCAAACAACTTTATTGTCTGGATCTTACTACAAAGATCAAAAGGGGGGGAGGTGTTCTGAGCTTCTCTTTTGGGGGGAAAGAGCAACGTCTTGAAAGATAAGGGTACTCAGCACAGACTAAGTAGACTGTTTTATTTTCATTTCAAAAAGCAGTCAGAAACATCAATTAGCCACAAGCCATTTGGTACAAAAGGGGAGGATGTTTGTAGCTGAGAAGAATAGAGGTAGCAAAGCACTCATCAGCATACTAAAAATTTTAGACTCTGAGATATGCTAAAATGAATTAATTTGGATTTAAAATGCAAATTAATCTGGTGAAAGATTACAGATGTATGGTTCTAAGGCTCCAAAATGCTTTTAATTTACAAATGTTTAGATGCTATTAGTTGCTTCGGTATCCTAGTGCCATACTGTAAATGAGCATAATTGTTCTGTTTGTGCATATTATTTTGATAATTTATTTTCTAGGAAGAGTATGTCTGTGGTAATCTGTAGAAGATGTTTTTCAGGCCTTTTTTCGATAAGTAATATTTATGTTCAAGATTTACATTTTCTTTTGTTACTCATTAGAGAATGTAGTGAATGCTCCATCATTTGATTTACTGAAAGAAATTTTAAAAGAAATGAAAGGTGATTTAATATCTTAGCTTGGTCTCATCTCCACAGCTCGGGGATCCAGCAAAACTCATTCTGAACAGCTTATTAGTTCTAACTATATCGCATGCATAATAAAACTGCTCATTTGCTCATTAATATTAAAATTATCATATTCAGAGCCATGGGCATTAAGATCAATCAAATCCTTGGATTTCAGGTCAGATGCTAGATCTGCTTATGCTTCCCTTTAAAAAAAAAAAAAAAAAAGAATTCGTCTTTTAAAGCCAGCCAGAAGCGTGTCTTTGTGCAAATAGAAAGAAATCTTCATCAAAATTACTTTGTTTTATATTCGTAAAATAAGAATTAGGTCATTACCTGACTATACTTGATGGCTATATGCCAGTTTACTTTGATAAAAAGAAATGTTTGCTGTAACCAATAATCTGGTTTATGGGAAATAACTCTGTGCAAATTATTCAGTCTTCTATTTTGTTATAGTTTCTTTTAATTTTAAGAATGATTTGATTTTATTTAAAATATTAATTACTTTCATAGATCACTACTACCAGTGTTTTTTTTTCACAGTCACTGGAAATAATATATTCTCTCATTCAAATTCTCCCATTTCACTCAATTTCAATATATACAATATAAAAAACTTTACTGAGAAAATCCTTTCTTTAAAAAATCTAAAATGTATCCTATTGTGCAGACAGAATACTGCACTCTAACTTGCATATGTCATCTAATAATACAGAATAAACAAACTCTGTTATTTCATTATTATAGGGATGAAAAGAATGCCTTTGAGCTTATTTGCATAAAGCTTTGTGCAAAATTAACACTTGTCACTGTAGCCTTTTTAGCATTTTAATACCTCAAGCAGGACTGGTTCCTTTGGACATTTCAACCATCCCCAAGTGCTTGATCAGGGACACAACAGAGCTGACCTAATTGTTCTGGCATTTTCAAAGATACTGTAATTTGTACAGATATTGCAATTTAGACCAGTTCAATGAAAGGAAGGTTTTGACACAGCTATTATTAAAATAGCCTGGAAGGCTGTGTTATCACAAAGTTCAAACTGCAGATTCTAATAATTTGTAAGTTTGGGGGGGAGGGGTTTACAGTATCTTATGTATTGAATTTAATATTCAAACTAAATTCTCTCTCTCTCTTCCTGTGATTTAGAGAAAGAAGATTAACTAAGCAACAGCACTGGCAGCCTTCTTAAATTGTATTAATTTTGCTACCTTTCTTTCCCCACCCCCACCCCTTTTGTGTCTGATTTAGAATGCAGTACGACATAATCTTAGCCTGCACAAGTGTTTTGTTCGAGTAGAAAACGTTAAAGGAGCAGTATGGACAGTGGATGAAGTAGAATACCAGAAGCGAAGGTCACAAAAGATAACGGGGTATGTGTGAAGAGTGAAGGTTGTGTGTCGCCCCTTTCTTCTTTCAACTGAGTTGTTTTGTTATTCTCTTACCCATGTAGTGCATATGAATGGGATTGCCAGAGAAATAAATGCAAACACTTATATTAAGAATGCATCTAAGCTAATAGCTGTTAGGGTGTTTTGTGTTTTAATAAGGTGCATTTATGTAATGTGGATTCTTAATGATGTTTTCCCAATGTTCTTATAACTGCTGTTAGAATTACACATAGCTTGGTACAGATCAAAGCAATTGAACTTTTAAGAACATTTTTTAAACACACACATAAATAAATGAATGAATATGTGTTTTACCAAATATGTCATATATTAAAATTCATCTATTAGAAATCCTCCTTACTCTGTATTAGAGTTGCCTCTTCTTACATGAGCTTTCCATGTGTTAGCACTTAATAATGGCTTGCTTTTAGTGCAAACCTTTCCTTAAAGTCTGGAATTATTCAAGTTCATTTTGCAATCTTTGGTTATTCAAACCCTGAATTGAAATTCTCAAAAATACCTTCACAAGTTAGGGCAACATTTATAGGAATGGTTACATGATGTCTGCCCTGTGTTTGATTTTCTGTCATTTCAACATGTAGAACCATCTACATAGCAGCAAATACTTTTTTTCTTTACTTTTGTGAAAGTATACATTGGTCACTGAAACTAACACTTGGTTTCTTATTGGTAACAGTCTATGTAAATAATTCTGCATATATTTCTAGATTGTAGAATACATAGCATGTAGTGATACTAAATTAATACTGTGTCAATTAAGGGCCAAACTAAACTTTCTGTTAATCATGAAAGTAGAGCTACACATGACTGACTTCCACATCTCAGTATCACATGCATCAAGATCATGGTGATTCAGGAGAGGGGATTTAAGCTTTCTCCTTTCCATTTCCCATACCAGAAAAAAAGAATGAAGATATTTTCATGGATTCTATGCAGGTAAGTCATGGAGAAAGTAGATCAATCATGCATAGCTCTACTATGTGTGATTTAAGAATGTCTAGTTTGGCCCTGTGTTTCCTCTTATTTTGATGTTCATATTGATTCAGTATTATAAAGCAAATTTATATTTTTATTTGGTAGGGAGGAAACCAGATATTAAGCATTGCAGTATTTGAAATTTGAAAGAATATTTTGGCCACTTCATGCAGGTAGTGGTGTTTTTATTTCAGAATAGCATCCCATGGCTGTCCCATGTCACAAGTTGTGTTGTAATATGCCCAAGTTTAAGCAGCAAGTTGAGTTGCAGCATTTGGGAAAGGGAGACAGGCAAGGAGAGGGGAAAAAACAATTCATTGGAATTTAAAATACTCCAATTCTCTAACTTCAGCCCTGTGTGTACATATAGACTTCCCTGCATACAGAAATGTATATGCATATAACTAATAATAGTTGGAAACTACTTTGGTAGCTAAATTTATATTAACAGCCACCAAGATAGACCAGACATTACTGTGTTCCAGACAGGAAATTGCAGGACAAATCAGAATATTTATAGTTTCACTGGTCTTTTTGCTGGACAGAGAGCACCATGTAGGTTGAATCTATGAGACAGATAAATTACTATTGTTTAGTAAATTGAAATCCCACCAATCCTGTTGCATTTTTCACATACAACTGAGTTGAATAACTGTTGTATTAACATGCTGTGTCATCCTGTGTGCTTGAATTTAAAAAAAAACAAAACTTTGAAAAATTATTTATTTTCAGAAGCCCAACATTAGTGAAAAACATACCCACGAGCTTAGGCTACGGAGCAGCACTTAATGCAAGCTTACAGGTAAAACTGATGAAGTAGTCATTGATTTTACATTTCTGTTTCATTCTGGTTGTGTTATTTGCTTCTCCAAAACAGACCTCCCCCGCCACATACACATGTTGTTTATGTGGACATTATGACCATTGCTAATAGGTGGGTTAATCACCAAGTAAGTTGTACTACCTAGCACTGCAAAAAGTACTAGTTCCAATTCTCATTACTTTTGATGTGAAGAAGCAAGAAGGACACCCTGTGGCAAAATCTGGAACACTCAGTTTTACTGCAAATGCTAGATTGATAGAAGCTTTTGCAAATGCATGTGGATACGCATTAATATTTATCCAAGCTGTCATGAATGATTTCACATCATAGTATTGGGGAACATGGTGCTCATGGCAAAAACTTTAAAGTTTAATTATAAGATATAATTTTTATGCAGAAAAGGCAAATGTCAAGACTCCTTTATTTTGAGTTAAGTTCTGGTCATTTTTTTTATAATTCAGCTGTTGCTTCCTGTACAAAAGAACTGCACACTGCATGTTAGGACACAGGGTCGAGGGTTTAAGTGCACTTTATAGTTAGAAATAGTTTGAAGGCGGAAAACATTGTGCATGTCAGTGTCAGAGCATATTTAATATCTCCGTCCAGTGATGCAAGAATATGTGGGCAATTGTACCATGTCAGATGTGGAACAAATGGTGCAAAGATGTTTCAAGTCATCATTTGGGTCTGTTTACATGTATATACATCAATACATATTAAGCTGCTTCCAAGGAACAAATGGATAAGAATTTAACATTATCTTTATTTTGCTAGGCTGCGCTGGCGGAGAGTAGTTTACCTTTGCTTAGTAACCCTGGATTGATAAACAATGCATCCAGTGGCTTACTACAGGCTGTCCACGAAGACCTCAATGGTTCGTTGGATCACATTGACAGTAATGGAAACAGCAGTCCAGGCTGTTCTCCTCAGCCTCACATGTAAGTGCAGTTAACATCTTTTTTTTGTGGTGAAAATACTCATTTTTCTAACTCTCTATATTGCTTAACATTATTTCAGATGTGGGCAAAAATATTTTGAAACTATCCACATGCTGCGGGAAAGATCTCTGTGCATGCTCTGGTTCCCACATGATCATGAGTGGTATTGTGTAAATTGGTGTCCAGCAACATCAGACGCTTGGACCCAATGGCCTTCTTGGCCCCTTCCAACTTTATTATTGTAGGATTCTGTGTTTCTAAGTGTTTCCCATCCACTGTATGAAATGGTCAGTGGAGCAGTGGGAAATGCCTGCATGCATACATAAAAGAATGCTTTGCTTACTTAGCATGGGATAAGAAGAACTTTCTCTGATGAATCTGAAGATTGTATACTTAGACTACAGTCTTGTGCACTGCTTGTAGATGCTCATGCAGTCCCTTTGGTTTAGAAGTGGCATATGCATACCCAACTAAGTTGTTAGACTACAGGTAGCTAAAGTGACTCTGATAGCTGTTGACATTGTACTATTCAGAATACAGGATTGTTGTTTTTACTAGAACCCCAGTCAGTATTATACAACTGCAATCAATTCCTGTTTCTATCTAACATCTGGGCTCTTTACCAAAGTTTAGTCTGTAAGATCACATAGCAAGAATGGGCCCGTTAGGATTAAGAGTAATTTAACTGTACTTGCAAGTTCGTAACACGTTTACAGACTGTCAGAGAGATAGTGCACATTTATGTAACCATAAAATGGAAAGTTTAACTGTTAGCCTCAGTTTACATAGACGCTAGTAAAGTGTAACTTTTTGCCTGTCTTATAAATCAGTGTAATTACATATTCAACTTTAATTACTGGTACGTCTGTATTGGCAAGGTTTATATGTTATATTTTATGCAAGACTACGATTCCTATTAATATTTAGCAGCTAACTATATCATTAATTACTCTAAAATCTTTCCCTCACCATCTTTTTAATGCAGCTCAGAGAGTGGCAGTATTAAAAATTGATGTATTGTAGATTTCAGAAATGTGTATGAAGCCTAAGAAATGCCTGGCCTTAATCAGGGGTGTCAAACATGGCAGTTTCTTGTTTAGTAAATAGTAAAACACGTACCTTCGAGGTATCATTTCCCAGGTTATTTATACAATAATTACGAGATGTAGCATCTAAGTAGACATAGATATAAGTTCACTGTAGGATGATTCTTTTTAATATGCAGTTATGTCCTTAGTTAATGATGGTAGCTTTGTGTTTAAAATATTGTACCCAGTCTGTCTTTATTATTTAATTTTCTCTTTCATGTTTTCCACATGTAATGGTGGAGTAGCAATTGCAAGTAAAACACTATAGATTTTTCTAGTATATTAGCAGAGATATGCATTTTGATTTGTTGTGTTCACTTCAAGATTTCCAAGTGTTGTGTGTCCTACTTTATTTCTGTTGCAAGGCTAGTAAATATATTAGCATTTCCTTACATGATCTTTAAGAGCATATATACAAAATGGCTTCACTTGCCATGTATTGCATCACCTTGAGGAAAATAACCTTATACATACACGCTGGTGAATGAGAGCATTAATATGCTTTTGTGAGTTCAAAACCATTACTTTTTTCAAAACAGAAAATTTGTCTTTTGGAAGTGTCTTTAGATGTATTAAATAATACAAAAGAAGTAATAAAACTTGAAGTAGAAAGAACATGAATATAAGCTCCTGAGAGCAACAGTGCTCTAAAACAAGTAAAGTGAGCCATCAGACAAAAGTTTTTATATCCCATGCTGTATTCTATCAACCATGCATTGGGTAGCTTGAGGCCTTTTACTTTTAGCAGTTCTCCTGAGTATGCTAATGCTCTCTTTCTGTCTAAAATGCCAAGAAAATAAAACTTTGAAGAGCAAACAAGAGTTAGATCATGTGTATTAAAAACAGCTATTTCACAGAAATGAATGACATTTGCTATTTAGAGTTGTTTGGTAGTGAGTGGTATAGCAGAACTCTTTCCCTCTTTCCTTCTCCCTCTATATTTGTCGTCCTAAACAATGCAGTAATTGTATATGACTTATGCCACATGACCATGTATGATCTTCAAATACTGCTCTGTCCCCCATGCAAAGCAATCAGAGTCTGTGGTTATGTTTACATATAATGCCTGTTGTAGATTATAGCAATAATTTCAGTTCAAGAGTTGAACAACTATTCACGAGTACCACAAAACCAAACACACACACACAGCCAAGTATTAGAAATGATGGACAACCTATAACTGTACTAGGGCTAGTACTAATACTGGCACCTAACTGCTTAGGATGGACTGTAATAGCAGTAATGTAGTACAGCGTTACAGCATATGTTATGAAAACAGTATTTCAAGATGCTGTGACCATATTACAAGTGGATGTGTAGACACAAGAAGCTGGGGTGGCAGATTGGTAGCTATATTCCATAACGTAAGTTATGGGTTACTTGCCAAACGGTTGGGTATTGCAAAATGTGTCAGGACCCTGGAACTTTTGTCATGACTAGTAAGGTATTTTAGAGGAACCCCAATTAGGTAGCAAAGTAAACTACCTCAAAGATATTTGAATTAGGATGAAAAAAGAACTACATAGCAAAGGTAGAACCAATGGAAATAAAAGGCTTACAGAGTCCTTGCTCTTAAAATGTATTTGAACATATACTATAGAGTCTTCATTTAGGCTCTGAATCCTCTTATTAAGAATGGGAGCTCAGTGACTGTAACGCCTAATGACTTTTAGTATATGTGAAGCAGCTGATTTGGATCGGAGCTGGAGCGTTGGGAAAAGGGGGTTAACAGTTTTGTTGTGCAGAGTCCCCAGTTTTAAAGATAAACCTGTGTGCTTGTAGCATGTAGGCAAAGGATTATCCTGATCCAAATTGGGGCCTTGTGGCGGTTCCTTGTAAAATAGAAAGGCATTGGGGGTCCCTGGTACATGCATTTTGACTTCAGGTTTCCTCTGCAAATAACTGTCAGAGCTGGACTGATCTTGAGGTCATTGGCCTACAGCCTGGTAACTGTTCTATTTTCAGACAGTTGTGCTTGTTGCTAAAATTTCAGATGCCATAGGAGCCAAAATCACAGGAAGTGAATGTGCTTCAGTGTGCATTTCTTATACAAAGAGGGGTAATTTTAATTCCGTTTTGTCTGTTGTTCAACTTACCTCCCGAGAACTTCCTTTTATTCCATATGTCAGTTATTTAGTCAATGTGGAAAAAATACTCCGCACATGCACAGAGGCATAGTTCTTTTTCCTAACCTGTTTCTTCTAGGCTTGAGTCAAAATGACCTTGAACAGTCAGAGTGGCTGTACTAGAAGTGTCCCAGGGTGTACAGTGAGATCAAAGTTATTATGTTGTATGCAATGAAGAGGCATTGTTTGTACAACTCTGAAGGGCTTACCAAGACAACAGAGAATTTAACAGAGCTCCCAAACCTCAGGATGCAAGAACTGTTTTTGTGCTGTGTGCATTTCTTTGATTTCTGACCCCACAAACTAAGGCCTCATTCATATGTTAAAGCTGTAACGCCCATAGAAAATGATCTTATGGGTCAGCTAAGTGACATGAATCCTTCCCACACATTAGGTTCAATGATATCAAGAATGCCTATGTAGTCAGCCATGAAATTGGTTGACCTGTAACGTAAAATAACATTTTCATAAGTGATATAAGAGACAAGACAGGCACACAATTAAGTACAGTATTCTTCAAGCATAGTATGCAGAAGTGCACAATCATGCATGTGGTGCATTTACTATTTGTAAACTGGCAACATTTTGTAACAGCAGATTTCCCGTTTGGGATTCCTGCATCTATGCAATTGCAGTAGAAACAATGAGAATTCCAGGAATATTATTTTCTAACATTAACTATTTGCATAGTCTCCACCTCTTCTGTTCAGCGTTTTATAAGTGTTGCATTGCGTAAATGAAACCAATTGGCTTGAGAGACAAAATGTGTTTTCCCTTTGAGTTAAAAAGACCATAGGAACACAGGAAACTGCTTTACATGGGATCAGACTATTTGTCCAACTAACTCCCTATCATCCCGTCAGACTGGCAGCAGCTCCCCAGGGTCTTTCACAACATTAAGGAATTAGAGGCAAGACAGGGTCACACATCACTTGAATCCTACATCTCGGAATGAATGGGCCACCATCAACTATATACATCAAGATCAAAAGGACCCCCTCATTGCCACAGCAACCTGGGAGCAAGGAAAATTGCCAAGATGCATGACAAAATCAACACATCTGGATACATAAATGGGTGAGGTGCCTGGTTGGGCTGCCTGGTTCTCCCTGATTCTCTTGTGGCAGTGAGCAAGAGGCCATAATGAGGCTTAGTAAAGCCTGCACAAGCATTCATAGAGATGGAACAGGAGAGCAGCAAGGTGTCACCTCAAAACCAGTGTTTTTCATTAAAGCCAGTTGAGTACCTTCAAGCCAAGTAATCAAGCCATGAGAGATCAAGTTATGTAAATACATGTGTGAGCCAGTTCTACACTTACAGGTTTTACAAAGGTTGGCCTAAAGCAAGTTTTTATCCTTCAGCAGGAACCACTGACAGGAAAAGATTTTATTATGTTGTCACCTCTTTTCAAAGCATTAACACAGAAAAGAACTGTGGACTATGCTGAGAAGCTATTCTCTTATAACCATCCCAACACATTACTTAGCCTGTATACACAGCATTCTTACACCCTGTTTCATTTTAAAATATTGGAATTAGTTGAAGCTCTGTGTGCACCCACAAGCTCTTGTGATATCTGTGCATATATATTTTCTGCAGAGGTTACATTTAACTAAAACTGGGAGGTAGCAGAAATGTGCTGCAGAAGAAAGGAATAAGAATGGAAGATAATCTGAAAAGATGAACATACACGAGCTCAGTCAGTCTTCCCTTCTCCAATTTTACACTATGCAAGAAAAGGGAGTTTTAGCTCTGCTTAGCTTCAGTCATCCTTTTCCACCCTTTG